CTGATTCTCGAGAAGCGAATGCGCGCCTGGGTCATCCTGGGCCGCCCGGGTCATATGGGGCCATCCTGGGCCGCCCGGGTGCCTCCGGAGGCCCGCCCGGGTCATCCCGGGCCGCTCGCGCGCCGTTCTGGGGCCCTAAAACGAAATGGCAATTAAGGAATTTGCCTCTCAAAGCTCTTTTTTTCGAAACTGCGGAGGGGCATAGCTTTGGGGGCATCGATAGAGTGGGGTCTCTCCCGTGTGACACTTTACGCAAAGGACGCATGGGGGGGGGCGATGCGGGCCAGCCCGGGGCGGCGCGAATTCGCATTTAGGATGGGCGACGGGGCAGGAGTCGCACGCGCATGGCAATGCGAAAAGGGGCGCAGATGCTTCCAATGGGGGAGAGGTTCCCCGGTGGTGCTCGCAATTGTCAACTCCACTGCTCGCGCCCGCCCGCCCGCAACTTGTCTCGCCACAAGCATGCGGCGGCAAATGCGATAGTTGCTTGGCGTTGGCTGTTGCGCCCCCGCGGCCGCGCTAGCCCGTGCGTGCTCGCTCGCGCGGCGGCCGGCAAGTCCGGCGCGACCGACGCGGCCGCGTCGGCGCTGACCGCTGGGCGCTTCCGCTTCCCAGCGGGCGCTCGACTGCGAGGCGGCCGCCGGGGCGGGCGCGGCGTCGCGGCGGCGTCGACGACGGCGGGCGCGACGATGACAGTGGCGACGCAAGTGACGGTGCTGACAATTGCGAAGGCACGGCCAGCGACGGCCCCGATGCTCATCGCGGCGACGACGACGACGGCGCCCTCGCGTCGGCGATGAGGGCGTGGAAGGAGTTCGACGCGCGCGCGGCCGACGCGCGAGAGCGGCCCGCGCGGGGCTATTCGACGCGCACCGCGCCCTCCCCCCCCCGCGCGCGCGCGAGGGCGCTCGCATGAGGTCGACGCGCGGCTCGGAGGGCCCGCTTAGCAAAGTTTTAATGAACACGGTGAAACGACCAATGGTTTTCAAGGGAATTCGCACGAGTGCGAGCGCACTTTTCGTTTTCTTTGGAAGATGCTGTTGTTAAGCTATTGGTTTGGGTGTGTTTTCGGGGTGCTCGACGCTAATGCCCCAGCGAAACCAATGGTTCCTCGAAGATTCCGGCGCGCGCGCGCGACGAGGCACGCGCGCTCTTCGCGTCGTTTTCCGCAGGGGGTTCTCGCGACAGCACGCGCGAAAAGACGCTCGAGCGATCTCAACGCGGGCGCGCCCGAGGCCTACTTGGCAGCATGCCACGAGCGTTTCGAAACCCATGGTTTCTTGGGAATTCGCAAGAGCGCGAGCGCAACCGTTCGTTTGAACATTCCAGCGCGCGACCCCCAATCCTTTGCATATATGGAAAAATGTTTTCGGGGCGCCCGATTCTGAACCCCTTTCCGAAACAGATTTGTTTGATTGATTTGGGCGCGCGCGACGACGCGCGCGCCCGTCGCCCCGTTTCCTCGAGCTGGGTTTTCGCGGAAGCAAGCGCGAGGGCTTTGGGGCGATTTCGACCTGCTCGCGCAATCGCCCCGCCCGCCCGCCCGCGGCGCGTTCTGCGAAGCGCGTGCGGCGGCGAAAGCGATGGGCCCTTTGGCTGTTCTGGCGCGACTCTGCGGCCGCGCCAGCCCGCGCGGCCTCGCGCGCGCGGCGGCTGGCAGGCCCGGCGCGACCGACGCGGGCGCGGCGGCGCTGACCGCTGGGCGCTTCGGCTTCCCAGTGGGCGCTCGGGCGCGAGTCGGCCGCGGGGGCGGGCGCGGCGCCGCGGCGGCGTCGACGACGGCGGGCGCGACGACGGCGGCGGCGACGCCGGCGACGACGACGGCAACGGCGAAGGCGCGGCCAGCGACGGCTCCGACGCCCATCGCGCCGACGACGACGACGGCGCCCTCGCGTCGGCGATGGAGGCGCTGGAAGAAGTTCGACGCGCGCGCGCGGCCGGCGCGCGAGAGCGGCCCGCGTAAAATTATTCGACGCGCATCGCGCTCCCCCCCCCCCCGCGCGCGCAAGGGCGCTCGAATGGGGTCGACGCGTTGCTCGGGAGGCCCGCTTAATGAAATTTTAATGAACGCGGTGAAACGAATAATGGTTTTCCGGGGAATTCGCATGAGCGCGAGAGCGCTTTTCTTTTTCTTTGAAAGATGCTGGGAAACCATTGGTTTGAATGCGCTTCGGGGTGCTCGACGCTAAAACCCCTGCGAAAACGGTGGTTCCTCGGAGATTCCGGCGCGCGTGCGCGACGGAGCGCGCGCGCGCGCGCGCTTCGCGCAGCTTCTGCCGAGGATTCTCACGACAGCACGCGCGATAAGACTCTCGGGCGATTTCAACGCGGGCGCGCGCGAGGCCCACTTGGTAGCGCGTCACGAGCATGCGAAACCAATGGTTTCCTGGGAAATTCACGAGAGCGCGAGCGCAACCATTTGCAAAAAACATTCGTGCTGCGAGCCTACGCTGGTATATATATATATATATATATATATATATATATATTTATATATATATATATATACATTTATGTATATGTATATGTATATGTATATATATATACATAATATATATACATACATACAAACACACATACATGCATGCATACATATACACCGATATCAGTGTAAATGTTTTCGGGCCGCTCGATTTTGACCCCCCTCCGAAACCGGCGGCTTCTGATTGATTTTGGCGCGCGCGCGACGGCGCGCGCGCGCGCCCTTCGCCCCATTTTCTGCGCTGGTTTTTCGCGGCAGCAAGCGCGAGGGCGTTCGAGCGATTCCGACGTGCTCGCGCGAGAGGCCCGTTTGGCAGAATGTCATGGACATGGTGAAAATCCTTGGTGTTCTGAGGATTTCGCAAGGCCCGAGCGCTGCTTTTTTTGGGCTCGGCAGAAATTTTTGTTGCGAGACCATTTGGTATTGCATGTTCTCGGGGATTTTGACATCCTTGCGGGAATAACGGATTTTGAAAGATTCTGGCACGCGCGCGCGACGACGCGCGCGCCCCGTTTTGTGCGAGGGATTGGTTCTTGACAACAGACGATGTTTTATCAACGACTGCGCGCGTATATGTATATATATATATATATATATATATATATATATATATATTGCAGAGGATGGGGGGGGGGGCGTGAGCGGTTTCGCAGGGATGATGCGGGTTCGTATTTTGGATGGGTGATGGGGCGGTATCATGTGTAAATTGAAACGCGAAAAGGGGCGCGGTTAAAATCTGAGGGGGAGGGGGAGGGGGGGGGGTTATATTCAAATCTGGGAAAGAAAAATTGCGCGCTTGCCTTTGACTTCCTCGCGCGCGACCACCTCTCATGTTCGCGCAATTATCCCGCCCGCCCACCCGCAACTTGGTTTGCAAATCCCATGCGGCGGCGATTGCGATGACTGCTTGGCGCTGGCTGGTGCATCGCTGCTGCCGCGCTAGCCCGCGCAGCGGCGAGCTAGTTTGGCGCGGCCGGCGCGATCGCGGTGGCGCTGACCGCTGGGCGCTGGGCACTTCCCAGCGCGTCTCGCTGGCCGCGCTAATGCGCGGGCGCTTCCGTGCGAGTCGGTGACTTGGGCGAGCGCGGTATCACCATGGCAACGGTATACACGATAATGATGGTCTCGGTGCCGGTAGCGATGATGACGATGACGACGGCAAGGCCAGTAGCAGTTCCGATGCTGAGCACGCCGATGACGATGATGATGATGCCCTCGCATCGGTGATGAAATTTTTGACCAGGATTTTGACATGCGCGCGAGGCCGACGCGCGAGATTCGATCGCCTAGTATTATTTGGCAGGGATCGTGCCCCCCCAAAACGCGCACAAGGGCGTTCGAACGGCTTCGACATGCGCGCGCGGAGAAGGCCCTTTTGGTCGAATTTGATGAACATGTTGAACAACCTGCGGTTTTCCTCCGAATTCAAACTGTTGCAACACCACTCTGTGGTTTCCTAACCATCCTGTGGTGTTGGGTCCTCGCTTTGAAGAGACCGTGCCGCTTCGTCCTCCTTCCTCCTCCCCCCCTTCCAATCCCTGTCTCTGCCCTGCGCATGCCCATGTCGGCACACACCTCACACGTCTCGTGGCCCATAGGGAACTCCGCCGAAGACCTCAACGGCAGGGTCCGCATGGCGGCCCCGGGCCCATTTTGGCACACCACTCACACGTTTCGTGGCCCCGCAAGGAACTCCACCGAAGGCCCCAACAGGGTCCGCATGGCGGCCCCGCACGCATGTCGGCACACCCTTTGCACGTTTCGTGGCCCTAGACAAGGGGAGTTCCTACGAAAACCCCTGTGGCAGGGTCCGCACGGCGGCCCCGCAGTTATTTTGGCAAACCCCTCACAAGTTTAATACCTCACAATGAGCCTTTCCGAAGGCCCCAGCGGCAGGGTCTACATGGCGGCCCCGCATGGATTTCGGCACTGCGCAATGATTCCGAAGGCGTTGGGCCAATGCGTTCATAAACCGAATGGCCTCCCTCTCATCGACCGCTCGCACCATACAAAGCAAAGCGTCTTGATACCGCCGCGGGCCTTATCACAAAACATGGCCTCCTCGTGCTGGACGAAGCATGTCACGAACACGAGCAGGCGAACGAGAATCCGCAAGCCCGAATACCACGAAACTCTCTGCGAAGCATCGTGGCTGCTGGCGCCGGCCCAGCATCGAGGCTTCTGGGAGGCTCCCAGGATCAGGGGCGGTCTGGTCGCACGCGTTGGTGGCGCAAGCGGCCCCTGCCACGCAATCCCAACGAGCGCTACTGCGCCAGAGGCCCCCTGGCTGCTTCCCTCTCTGCTGCTTCCCTCCCCTCCCCTCCTTCTCTTCCTCTCCTGCCCCGTAGCTCCTCCCCTACCCCCGCATCCGTTCAAATGTTTGCTTCCCTCCCTTTTGCTCTCCCCCTCCAATATGGAGGTTCGATCCCGGACGAACCTCCAGTCTCAAAGTCAGCTCTGGCCGCGTCTCGATGCGCCAGGGCCTCCCGCGCGAGGCTGGTTCAGCGGGCAGGGGCGCTTCTGATGACTTTGATGGCGACGGCCTCCTTTGTCTTCTCGTCGGTGCACTGGCGAGGGCAGCCAGGGGCGGGTCTGGGTTTCTGTAGAGCGATCCCAGAGACCTCAAAACCCGGAGCAGAACACAAAACGAGCAAAAGGAATTCCTCAAAACATGCGTTCGAGTCCCCCAGATCGGATATCCAAGGCCCTCTGGAGCGGGCTGTGCGCATCTGGGACGGCGAATCATTAAGACTTAGGATGGCGAAGGGAGAAGGCAGGGACCGAGGAGTGAGGAACAGCAGGGATCGTGAGAGAGACGGGCGGGCGGACGGACGGACGGGCGGACATCGAGAGGAGGACGGGCCGAGAAGATGAAGGACGTGAGACAGCTTGACACAGCGTCCCTGCTGAGCGCTCGCCACGAGCCACTGAGGCTGGGCGTGAACGACAGTAGATGGGAGCTACTGAGGTGTACGTGAACGAGAATGTAGGCTTCGAGATGGCAGCTCAGCACAACATCATACACACACACACGCCACAACCACTTCAGCTTTAAGCGCTATCCTTCTCCTCGCCCTCCCTCTCGAGGTCTTTCTTCTCCCCCACCTCATCTACCCTTCCCCTCCTTCTCCTGCGCTCACCGTGCGCCTTCTCCCACCGCGCGTCTCCCTGACTCTGGTACGCACCTGGGGCCTCTGGGGCCACCAGTGTCTGACCCTGGTGCAGTCGACGAGGGAGGGGGCGCAGTTGAATGGGGGATACCACAATTGCGATGGGAGGAGGAGGTGTAAGATTTCATGGAGGCAGGAGGACGAGGATGGTGTTGAGAAAGGTGGGGGGGGGAGCGAAATAACAATTGCAAATATCGCTTTTCGAAGAGCTCACCACGTGCAAAGGACAAACGCGTGCGACCAAGGCGGGGCGCAAACGTGCCACCGCTTATTAATGCGCTCCCAATGGATATTCTCCTTCTCCTCCACCTCCCGCTTATTGACAATACTGCTTCCTCCCGGCTGGATACAACTCAGACTTTGCCCCCACGGCCTCAGTCGGAAACCGCTCCAACCAAGAATGGCAACACACAACAACGGATCCTCGCTCAACTCAGACCCAGGCTTCGGCCCGGGATCCAACCTCACCCCAACAAATCGAAAGCACGGAAGGAAAAGTAATCTTCTGTCGCGTTGGTTTATGGATCTTTTTAACGAAGACAGCCACCAACAGCAATGCCCCACGGCCGACCAATTTCGCAGCGCGGCCACAACCAATCTGCAGAAGTCGATCCCCTGCAGTGAAGCGCGTCGAAGGCGAGATGGTACTAATGACGATCTGTGGACATCCCACCTGGCCCAGGCCACCAGGCATGTAAATCACGAGAGCCGCGATTTGTTGTTCTGGTTCGTGGGCGGTTGTCATTTCGTCCCGAGCTCGTGGGCGATCCCTGCACGCGGCGCGGAGCGCCAAACTCGGCGAACGACCGCGGCGGTCGGAGGAGATGCGGGTGGGCAGCCGGGCCTTGACGACGTTGGAGAACGTGCCCTTCCCGCACCTCCCCTTCGCACAACTGGGGCGGCGGGGATGTGGATGGGGCAGCAGAACAAGCGAGAGGGAGAGGAGCACGCGAGAGACAGAGAGGGAGAGATAGAAAGAACTTTAGAGAGAACGAAACCTATTCTCCGTACATCAAGACGTGTGGCTTGCATTCGGAAAACATGTGTAGATATATAGATATCTATGCATGCATGCATGCATGCATGTATGTATGTATGTATGTATGTATGTACGTCTGTATGTATATATATATATATATATATATATATATATAGATTTACATATATAATTTTATATCTATATATATATATATATATATATATATTCTACAGCGCGACAAACTTTGCCGCGTGCGTGCCGTGCCGTGCCGTGCGGGGGCGTGCCGTGCCTGGCTCCCAGAAGGCGGAGGCCAGGCCGCGCCGTCTCGGGCCGTGCCGTGGCGCGCGGTGCCTGCAATTAGGCTCTGCGTGTGCCGCGCCGTGCCGTGCCGTGCCGTGCCGTGCCCCGGCGCCTGGCTTTCTGGACTGGGAAGGCACGCGCCGCGCCGCGCCCGCGGGGCGTGCCGCGCCCGTGCGTGCCTAGAGTGCGAGGGAAGTGCGCCGCGCCGTGCCGTGTGTTGCGTGCCGCGCCGTGCCTGGAGCCTAATAATGCGAAAAAGGGGCCGCGCCGTGTGTCGTGCTGTGCCCGCGCGCGCGCCGTGCAGCGCCGCGCCGGGGGGTCCAAACTGCGAGAGATGTGCCGCTCCCGCCGTGCCGTGCCGCGCCTGATGTCTAAGCGACGCAAGAAGAAAGACGTGCCGTGCCGTGCATGTGTGTGTCGTGCTTGAGTGCCGCGCCGCGTCGGAATTCTAGAATGCGACAACTGGGCCGCGCCGTGCCCGAGCGCCGTGCCGTGCCAGGACTGTTGCGGCACTGGCCGCCCGTACCACGCGTGCTCCCTTTGATGCTGAGTCGCTGTATGTGCGTGTGTGTTTTCATGTGGCGTTTCTGTTTCGGGTCTCTTTGCACGGTGTAGTGTGAAGCTCAGCCCCGACTTCCCAACTTCTCCCAAGGGACTGAGGCCCGTTCCCTACTGCAACAGAGGGAAGTGCAGCAGGAATGGCCATCGCAACCGCTGCGTCGATGGCTCCCCCAACGAACCGCAGCTGTTGGGAAACGACTCGGCGCGAGAAACGGGGCGAAGGTTACGCAGACGAATGCGCCAGATGGTTTCCAGCCCAGCGTGCCGCTGACACACTCCGCGGCGGCATCAAGGATATTGACACCGACGCCGACCCCCACGGCCACCTTCTATCGCCGCGTCCAACGATCTCCTTCTGAGAAGGCCGACCATGGTGTGCAGCTCTACCTTGCCGAGGGCCGCAAAGTCCCCGATGCAGTAGCCCAGGCGATTCAAGATGTCGACGGCGCACTGCGAATATCCCTCTCCCTGCTCATGCCCTTCCCCGCAAACCATGCACCCACCAGGCTGATATCATATCCTTGGCGGCTTTTTCCCAAACTAACTCTGCTTAGCTGGCTGTTCTTACTGTTTGCCTCGTGGCTCCCTCGCTGCAAACGCCAGGTGCCGATCTCACTCCAGCGCCCACGCCGGTGAGCCTCGCGAGCGTGCAGGCACGATGCCGCCGCACTTCGCGCCGCCAAGCTCTGGCCAGGAAGCTCGCTCCACGTGTGCTGGCTCGCGGCCGGCGCACACCGCGTTGCCAGCGCTGCCGGCTGGAAGCTCACTCCGAGCGTGCCGGCTCGCTCCCAATGAAGTTCGCGCTGCGCGCGACGCGCCGTGAGCCCTCCGCCCCCCGCGCGCCGACTCGGCGCGATCGGCCAGCGGCCCCACGCCCTGCTCGGCAGGCGGCGCCGCGACCACGGCGAGGTCGCCCGGCAGCGGCCCCAGCGCGCGGCTTGCGCAGCGTGCATGGGGCCGCCCTCCTCGGCGGGCCCCCCGCGACCCGCGCGATGCCTCGGCGACGGCGCGCCGCTGCCAGCGCCCGCGCCCGCGTCTGCCGCCTCCGGTCCCCACTGGCCGCTTCCGGCGCGGGAGCGCGCAGCAGGCCCCGCCGAGCGAGGGGAGACGGGGGGCCTCCCCTCCGCACGGGGCGGGCTCGAGCCCAAGTGGGGTAAGGGGAGGAGGAGGAGGAGGAGGAGGAGGAGGAGGAGGAGGAGGAGGAGGAGGAGGAGGAGGAGGAGGAGGAGGAGGAGGAGGAGGAGGAAGAAGAGGAGGAGGATGCGGAGGAGGAGGGGGACGAGGAAGAGGAGGAGGATGCGGAGGAGGAGGAGGAGGAGGAGAAGGAGGAGGAGGAGGAGCGAACGTAACCGATGAGGTCACGGTCGGGGCGACTAGGCGGCCGACGGCGGCGCGGGGCGCGCGGTGGTCATGGCCATGGGGTAGGCGCCGTCGTCGAAGTCGGCGTGCTTCGGTTTGGACACGAGAGGCGATGAGGGTGAAGATGAATCCACGTAGGCGTCCAAGAGATGGTTGAAACTGTCGACGCTGCTCTCATCACGGAAGCTCGCGATCAGGTTGTCGCAGTACTCGTCGCCGCCCGTGTTCCTGTAGATGCTGTAGATGTTCTCCACCTTCTCGATCCGCTGGCTGAGGCAGGTGCGGTCCTTGCGCGTTGCCTCGGAGAGCTCCTGCATCTGCGCGTAGATGGAGTCGATGGGCTTCTTCAGGGTAATGGCTGCCATGGCGTTCACCTGACCGGAGAATGTCTTCCCCATCTCGTTCTGGAGGGTGGCCATGTCCTGATCGATCCGCTGTGTGCGGGACTCGCTGTCCTTGCGCATCGCCGCGGAGAGCTCCTGCATCTGCTCGATGACCGTGGCGTGCAGCGTGGTGTGGGTAGTTTTTGTCATCTCGTTCACCTGACCGGCGAATTTGGACGCCCGAAATGGGTACGGGAAAAATGGGTACAATGCCCAGCAACAAATGTCGTCCCAAACCAACAGCGGCCGCTGTTGGGCAGGCGGCCTTCTGTCTCGAATAGACATAGGCCGCGGCGGCGTGGACAGCGAATCCTGTTCAAAATGAACAGGAACTGCTGTTGGGCATTGTACCCATTCTTTCCGTACCCATTTCGGGCGTCCAGAGAGAATGTCTTCATCGCTTCGCCGTTGTGAGCAGCTGTGGTCTTGAGCGGGTCGACGAGCGTGCTCGTGGTGAAGATCCGGTCTGTGGCGGAGCTCACCTGCTCGGACGAGTGTGCGAGCGAGTCGTTGAGCATCCTCTGCGTGAAGAACAACTGCCCGGCTGAGTCGACCTTCTGGACCAGTGCTTCAACGAGTCGCTGCGCATCTACTGTATGTCGAAGAACGAGCGCGCGAACGTGTCGGTCGTCAGTCGGCTGCGGAGACCAAGGCTCGATCGAATCTACCCTCATGTACCGCACGCTTACCAGTGGAGTGCGGCTGGAGGAGCTTGCGGTCCAGGGAGGCGTGCATAACCTTACCCTTGACAATGCGCTTGATGTCCCGGTAGTCCTCCGCAGGGGTCTCCACGAAACGGCGACCAGGAGCAGCATGCGCCATAAAGCAATACTGGTTCCGCTCGAAGCGGCGTTTCTGGGCACTCGTGAGAGGCGTTCCGACTGCAAGTGCTGAGATCCATCATCGACAGCGCGGCATCACGCAGAGGAAGGACTCCACTCGCAGGTGGAACAGCACGACAGTGAGGAAGGAGACGATCAGCAGCATTGCGACGCCGCCATGATTCGCGGCGGGGAGTCCGAGCGCATGGAGGGGCCCGTGCGCGCGCGGGCCCTGGAAGCTCTTGAGCCAAAATGGCTACGGAGGAGGAGGAGGAGGAGCGACAGTAATTGCTCCGGGGCTAGGAGGAGGAGAAGCAGGAGTTAAAGTAGCCTGAAAAGCAGGAGAAAGAGGAGGTGGAGGAGGTGAAGGAGGAGGGACGGGGAACGAAAGGATGAGGAGGAGGAGGACGAGGAGGATGAGAAGGACGACGAGGAAGGATAGACAGCGTCTGAGCGCATCCATGGTCCAGCGCTGCCAGCGCGGCTGGGAGGAAGGCGGGGCGGAAGAAGGGGGAGACAGAGAAGCCTCCGCGGCGGCAAGAGAACGCTCGATGGGTAGTTGGTGGCAGCAACGACAGGATGAAGAGCGCGGTCAAGGCAATTGGCAAACGCCAAGGATTACCAATACGATGGTGCGAGTGCCCGACTTCCAAACATATGACACGATCTATAATCTCCAAGAGCAGCCACGTGAGATCGCAACCGCGTGAGAGGGCAAGAGTACTCAGGTATGGCGTGCTTGGCAAAGCGTGCAATGATATCGGCACCACATTCCGTCCACGAGCGCAGCGCCAGACCACCCCACGTTCCCGAGTCCAACTCCCCACAGCTGAGGGCACTAACACGTCGCCCTGTCATCCCTGTACCTCCTAATGGTAAACCTGTCCTCATCCTGCTCCCTCTCCGGCTTCTCCCTATCCCCCGTGGCGATCCCCTGGGAGGGCAGAATTCGGTTGGGCACCTTCGTACGCAGCGGGGAGTTTAAGCAAGCCGCCGTCCCACAGGCCCAGGGAAATGTGAACTGCAATCCATGGGCCTTTTGCAACGCTGCAGGAAACAGGTGGACCGGGGCATCCAATCGAGAGGACGACACTGAGCATATTCTGCTCTGCAAGCGCGGAGGCGACGAACGCGCCAAGGCTCTCTGCGAGGGGCCATCGAGACCAACTCGAAGCCTCACAGCATATCCGACTCAGGTCTGCGAGGAAGCGCCCCGTCGGGAACATTACCAACTTACCACCCCCTCACACTTCTCATCACACACCTTTCGTCCCTCCCCCTCCTGCCCCCCGTCCCTCTGTATTCTCCTCACTCTGCCTCCCCCTCCTCCTCACCTCCACAAAGTGGTTCCGAGGAAGCGGGGATACAACCTTGAACCGCGTATCAGTAGGCAGTCCGTGGTGGTGAGCGAGATGGCGATAGAAGCAGCAATGGAAAGGCGTTGGTGGTGGTTGTGGCGGGGTGGTGGGGTTGGCTGTGGCGGTGACAGTGGTCATGGTGTGTGGGGATGGCGCTGGTGGAGTTGGCTGTGGCGTTGAGTGTGGTGGCGGTGGGGAACGGTGTTCGGGGTGGCAATGGTGGATGTCTGCTTTGTGGTAATTGGTGTCTGGGCGTGCCGCGCTAATGAAGCGAGGGGTGCTCGTGAGTGGCTCGGTCTCAGGCGGAAGGCGAGAAATGCATTCGGCGGCCGCCCACTGCCGGATCCACACGGCTTGGCAAGCACGTTCCACACGACCAGACGTGTTGCCACCAGATAGGAGTCAAGGACACGAGTTAAGGGATCGCTGCATCCGAATTCTGCAGTGTGAGGAGGCATGTCGGTGGCAACGACGGGGCTCCCTCCAAATAAAAAAAACACAGCATGGACAAACTGGCATGGCGTTCGGGCAATGCTTTGCTTGTTTTGTGTTGTGGACGCGTTTGCAGCCTGGCTCGTGAGTCGGTTAAGACTGCCTTGCTCATGCTTGGAACAAAAGGAGGGCGTGGGATTAGAACGCACTAGCACCTCTCGGACCAAGGACGTCGCACAAAGGAACAACTGACCGACACACATGCAATATGCGCAATATGTTGTATCGTACTGATTGCTGCCTCTCTACCCCCCTGGCGCACAAAGTCTCGAAGACCCTGTAGCGGTTGTTCATCATCTGCATGGGTCCAGAGGTGGCAACAACTAGTGCAAGGATCCATGCTGCATGACAGAGTGGTATTGCTCTGTATATATATGTATGTATGAGAACGGCGTATGTGTATACAAGGGGAGGGAAAGAGAGAGATAGAGAGAGAGCGAAGCAGAGAGAGAGAGAGAGAGAGACATAGAGAAAGAGGGATACCTATATATCGGAGGTGAGGGGGTGAGATCGAAGTGGAACGGAGAGCCCCCCTACCGGGAAATCGATTTCGGTTTCGTGTTCGTGCGTGCCGTGCGTGCGGGCGAGGCGAAGCTGCGTGGGCGGGCGAGAAGAAAGTCTCCTGTGGCTGAGGCGCGGCCGGACCAAATGTCTCCCTTCCGGGCGGCCGGGGCCCCGCGGTGTCCCGCCGGTGTCCCGCTGGTGTCCCGTGTGGCTGAGGCGCGGCCGGACCAAATGTCTCCCTTCCGGGCGGCCGGGGCCCCGCGGTGTCCCGCCGGTGTCCCGTCGGTGTCCCGTCGGTGATGATGATGATGATGATGATGATGATGATGATGATGATGATGATGATGATGATGACGATGATGATGATGATGTTGACAACGATGATGATGATGGTGATGATGATGGTGGTGATGATGGTGAGTTCGGTAGTGAGACCGAATGTGAGATCGATTGTGAGATCGATTGTGATATCGATAGTGAGGTCGATAGTGAGACCCAATGTGAGATCGATAGTGAGATCGATAGTGAGTTCGATAGTGAGATCGATAGTGAGACCGGATGTGAGATCGATTGTGATATTGATTGTGATAACGATAGTGAGGTCGATAGTGAGATCGAACGAGAGGTCGATCATGACTTCGATAGTGAGTTCGATAGTGAGATCGATAGTCAGATCGATTGTGAGATCGATTGTGAGTTCGATTGTGATATCGATAGTGAGATCGATAGTGAGACCGAATGTGAGATCGATTGTGAGATCGATTGTGAGATCGATCGAATGAGATCGATAGTGATATCGGTAGTGAGATCGATCGTGAGACCGAATGTGAGATCGATCGTGAGATCGATAGCCAGATCGATTGTGAGATCTATTGTGAGATCGATTGTGATATCGATAGTGAGATCGTTAGTGAGATCGAGTGTGAGATCGATAGCCAGATCGATTGTGAGATTGATCGAACGAGATCGATAATGAGATCGATAGCGAGATCGATAGTGAGATCGATCGAGTGCGACGGTGGTCCCCCCCCCTCGCCTCCTTATCACCCGAAGGGTGGTCTATGCGGTATATATGTATAAAGAGAGAGAGATAGCGAGAAAGAAAGAAACGAAAGAGAGAGAGAGAGAGAGACAGAGAGACATAGAGACATACAGACAGAGGGAGTGGAATATCAAGCTGAACAACATAACACCATGTAAGTATAACTGAACTACTGTTGATAACCTGGCACACTGGCTGCTGCACTGCTGACTCAAAACCGCACTGCCCAAGTTAACCAAAGGCATGCTTCAGAAGAGTGCGCAGGCAAGTGCACCAAGGCTATGCGCACCATGAGCAACAAAGATGGAGAGGCACAAGCGACAAACAGGCACTTCCAATGCCCACTCTTCTGGATCAGCTGGGGCCTACAGCGCGAATCCTAGGGAGGAATACGCGTACAATTCATACATGTGTGTATGGTGCACTGTTGCGGCCTCTGAGGCCAGGCCACGCGCGTTCCGCGGCGCCCGACTCCGCCCTGACGCTGCGCGCGGGGCCGCGTCCGCCCAAAAAGTGTGTGTGTGCGTGTGTGCGTGTGTGTGTGTCACTCGTACACCATGGGTCTGTTCATCTTAGCGGGGTCGGAGCACGGCAGCAGCCAGCTCAGAAGTCGTAGAAGAGGAAGCCGTCGAAGACGACAAAGAAGATGTCGAGCCTCCCTGGCCGCATGGGTTCTCGCATGTCCTCGGCTCCTCCGCCGAATCTGCGACCAGGAAGGCTGGTTTAATCAGCTTGCAGCCGTCGATACCTAAGAACTCCACCTGAACCCTCTCTCCGACGAAGCCACGGACGCAGCCCACCAGCCCATTCAGAGCCGACGTAGCGAGGCTGTGCGGGCGCACCAAGTCACCCACCTGGAAATGGTCGCCCTGGCACTCGGGAAGGGACACGGGGCCATCGCCCTTGACCCGGTCACTCCAGGGAACTTGAGGCGCCACATTCCCAAATTTGGTCTCAAGAGCCTGGACCTTCCTCTCCAGTGTGTCTAGAATCTTCGCAGAAGCGGCACTCACAGCAGACAGACATTGGTCGCCCAGAGATCGCTGATGAGTCGTGAAACTGTCGCACAGCTCCTGCTTCGTGTGCGTGTGTGTGTGTGTGTGCGTGTGTGTGTGTGTGTGTGTGTGCGCGTGTGTGTGTGTGTGTGTGCATGTGTGTGTGTGTGTGCGTGCGTGCGTGTGTGTGTGCGTGTGTGCGTGTGTGCGTGTGTGCGTGTGTGCGTGTGTGTGTGTGTGTATGTGTGTGTGTGTGTGTGCGAAGATACGGTCGGCGCTCCACAGGGTTCTCCAAGGGCCGGCGGCACCTCGCTTCCAGCGCGTGGGCAGGTGCCGCACGGGTGGTCTGCGACACACCTCGCGCCGGTGACGCCGCGGCCCTGCTTTTTGACTTTTTGGCGTTTGCCCTCCTGCACGTGGCTCGTCACGTTACAGCTTGCGGCCTCGCCACACGCTCAACTTCTTCGCCGCGACAGGCCCGATTCGACATGGCTGTCTGGGTGGCACCCCGGGCGATGGAAGCTGCCAGGTACACTCGGCGGCGACAACTCGCATCGCTCTGGTCCTTGCCGTCCTGGCACTTCGACCTATACCATGATTCTTCTTTCGCGGCATGCCACTAACACCGGGTGTCGACAGTCAAGCCAGCCACCCGCCTACCCCTCAGGTTCTCCTCCCTTCTCTGCTCCCCCTCTCGTCACTGCTGGCTGCGCGTCTTTGGATGCCATTGGTTGCTGCTGGACTGCTCGGCTCGCCGCAATTCCCTCTCTGCGGCTGTCTCGCCGCCACTGCGATGTCAGTGCAGGTGATCGTTGCTGGCCCCCTATCCTTCACCACGCCGCTGGCTCATGGATCAAACTCGGTTGCTGCTACGGCGCCTTTTCGGCTCGCCGTCCGGCTCCCCGCCATCTCCGGCCCCCGTTCCTCCCCCGGCTCAGCCACTCGGCGCCGCTGCGATCGTACGGCTCTCTGGCTTCTTCCTGCGCCTCTGTTCCTGCACCGGCACTCTGGATGGCCCTGCCTTGTCCCGCGCCTCTGTTCCCCCGCGACCCAGGCCTGCACGATTACTCACACAGTGTGGCCCGCGGCGTCTATCCGCGCGTTTGCGAAGCATTGCTGCGTTGGAGGAACAGTGTGTAGGCTCCGTTCGCGTGGCCACATAAGGTGGTCAATTAGAATTCCACACGTCCTGTCTTGTTGTGTTTGAACCGCCGACCGCCACTTATCGGTGCGCCGATCCAGGCGAGTGCTGCAACATGCAGGCGAAGAAAACGTGTGCGTGTGCTTGTGTGTTGAGCCTTCTGGAATCGGGAAGCAAACATCAACCCTTGCAAAATCATTAATTACAAAGCCATTCACCCAAGTAGCGGACCCCAACAGAGTCATTCTCAATACCAACTACGTGTGATCCAAGACCACCCCAGGAAATGGCCAGAACGGCCCACGGCCAGCTTCAAGTAGCCTCGCAGCTGCCCTAAGATTGCAATCTGCCCGATGACCCCAATGAGCACACGAGATACCGCCCAGTACAGCCCAGGTAGCTCAACAGGCCAGTCTCACTGAAGCGTGAAAATGCTGTCGACTGTCGAAGCCTCGTCCAATAATCACGCATTCGCCAACAATGCACAGACGACTGTACATGCGACTTTCCGCCTGCACGTTCCAGCCCAGCTTTTCCACGGACGCCGTGATTTAGTGATAATGCGATCATGCTCACCATGGGAGGGAGCAGCGGACTGCAATATTGTGAGCCCTCTTTCTCCTTGTGCTCCTCTCCCTTCAATCCTTCACCTCCTCCTCCTGCCTGCCTCCTCCTCAACAGGTCTTTGAGGTTGACCCCTGAAGAATTGAGCTCAACATAGTAATCAAATTTGATGGCCATGCCCCAGCATGGTGCCCTCAGTACAGAATTTACCGAGCGCACCTTCGCCGAAGGGAACTCTGCAGACAAACGCGCCAGTTAACACGCTCTTGGCCACGATTGGCGCAGCCGCTGGCTGACTGCTCTACTGTTACTGATTGCATCCACTTCTGCCTATCCCAACAATGACCTTATATTGTACATACGTTCTTATCGCGGCGCGCAATCCAATTATTTGTCCTAGTTGCCTCTGTAGCCGCTCTGCTCAACTCTTCAATCGACCTTTGTACGTGCCCTTAGCTTGTTTGCTCCCACCTCTCTCCGTCTCCTATCTGTTGGCCCCGCTCACACATGCCGCCCAATCTCTCCGCTTAGAGAGGGGCTGCGCGCGGTCAGCGTCGCGAGGCCTCACCGACCTGCGCCTTGTAGTACAAGTCCTCGGGCGGCGTTTAAACATACCGCAGCGAAGAAACAATCTCGGCAAACAGTCCCGCATAACTCCGTCGCAAGGCGCGACATGTGGCTCGGGCTGCATGTCATTCTGGCCTGGGAACACAACGAGGAAGACATGTTTTGGTTATCTGGCCGATGCGTCCTTGGGGCGCTTTGCTGGCAACGTTGCAACACCACATCATACTTGACTGGAGCTGACATCCCATGGCATCTCAACCCCCTTCCCCCCTCTCGTCCCCCTGAGATTCCGCATCACTATCCTGTCCCCTTCCCCCTTCCCCCTTCCCCGATCCCCCTGCGCCTTCTCCATCCTGCATTCCTTCCCATGCCCTCCCTCCCGCCCTCCCTCCCTCCTACCCGCCTACTCTTCCTTCCCCTATTAAGTCGGGCCTGTCCCCATAAAGAGGAATTTTCGACGAAACACAAAACATACACGACAAATACCCCCAAAAGGTCTAAACATACTAAAACAAATTCTATTTTTGGACTATTGTTTGAATATTTTTGGGAAAAAATTGTAAAAACAAATTCGTCGAAAATCCCCCTGTAGGGGGACAGGCTCGAATTAAGACGAGCGGGCGGGCGAGCCTGCGCGCAGACTCGCGAAGCCGCGTGACACTGCCGAGGAGGTTGCTCGAAACGAAAGGATGGGGCGCAGGCTGCTGCGCGAGGGCCACGCGGTCGGGGACGAAGCAGTTCGCGCGGCGGGCGGGGCAGCTGGACCAAGAAGGGCTGGGCTCCCCGCTTTGCGCAGTGATCGAGAGAGCTCGGGGCTCGCAACCACGACAGCCGAGCGTCTGTCGAAGTCGGCGGTGGCGAGCGCGAACAGATTTGACACCTGCCGCGGTCGGGTGGGCGACGTTTGCAGCTTGCCGGTCCGGGCAATAGTTGTAATCGTGAGGGCGCTGCTCAAAGCCGCGCGGGACGCCGCAGTCAGATGTGAACCGTCGTCGTCAGCCCGCAGCGGAAATCGGGAAGACTCAGCTCGTGGAACAAGTGATTGTGGGGCGCAGGGAGGATCACTCGGATCTGCGGGCCGCGGCCGTCGGAGCCACGCGCCCGACGCACATCATTATCATCCTCGTTCGCATTCCCACTCTGGCTCTCATTACCATTCCCATGGTCGTCATCATCTTCGTCTCCGCCCACGTTATCATTATCTTTCTGCTCCTGCTCGAAGCCTTGCAGAAGAACACGGTCACCCATGGGCGCCGAACAGGAAAGAAACAAACACACTACACCAACTCAACGCGCCTGGTCGAGCAGGTGGCAGCCTCACGGGTCCCAGGCAGAGAGCCCTGGGCCAGCTGCTTCAGAGCCCGCCCTCCGTGCTCCCTGGGCTTGCCTCTGCAAAAGGGCCAGGAGCGGGGCCAGGACACGATTGCTGGCACTGCGCCCACAGGCTTCACACACCACGACGGGGCGGGAGGGAGCAAGGGCACCAGGAGAGAGCAGGACCTCCAGGAGCCTGCGGGGACGGTGACTAGCAGACACTAGGGACCGCGACGCAGCGGCAGCCCTCGGAAGAACGCCGCCCCCCCGCACTCTCACCCGGGTGTACTCCAGATTTCGTAATAAAGGGAGGGGGGTCTCATTTCGGGGGGGGTCTCTTCCAGGCTATCTTGGAGGGTCTGGGGGGTCTGGGGACGATGTTTTGGAGGGTTCTACCACGGGGGGGGTCTAAAACTTCTCGTCTGGGAGGGTTGAGACCCCCTCCCTTTTATTACGAAATCTGGAGTAACCCCCAAGCGCTTGCAGACACGGCACCACACAGCACCGGAGTGCACGACCTCGGGGTTGTACAACTGGGGGGTGGGGGCGGAGCGCTTACATGTGGCTGTGTGGACAATGCCGTGCTCGGCGGCAGCAGTGCCCGCCATCGCAATCCCAAAGACCGACGCTGACCGCGAACATATTCGCCTGCTGAAAGCGAGAGAGCAAAACAGGCGACCTGGTCGATCAAGGCTTTGCCCGCGCGCTCGAAGTCGCGCGCGCGGCCAGCCTGGACGTCGGCTTCGGGGGCATGAGCATTGACCTCGGAAGCTTGGAGCCCAGACTGTCCCAGGCCTCCGAAGTCCTCAAAAAACCTCCACAGTCTCCTCCAAATATGGGCCTACGCGGATCTGGGGTCGGTCGCGGCAGCCTCGCCCTTCTCCAGGATCCCACGGGCCACGCAATCAGAACCCGAACAAAAACGTGCAAACGTCGCCCGCCCGATTCTGCATCCGACGGGGGCCAAAGAGGGCCATCGGGCACCAACGGGAGAAAGCAGGGGCCAACGGGGGCCAACGTCACCCAACCGTTTCGAGATCCAGCAACGCATCTGCTCGTTTCGTATATCATAAATATGTTTGTGTACATGTGCACAGAAATTACATAACATTGGCACACACACACACTATGTTTAGAGAAACAAGAAACGCGCACATCAAACGAACCCGCTGGAATGGCGGGAATGTCGGGCCGGGTCCGTCGGGTAATGACTGTAGGAGGGAATGGAAACGGGGAGGAGGAGGAGGACAGGATAGGATAGGATACGGGAGCAACATGACGGAGTCATCTAAACAAAACACCTGCAACCCCTGAGCTTCCCGCCGAAGGAAACGCACTGGAGGAGCGCGTGTGTGGATTGCGTGCACCAAACCTGCTGATTTCCCAATCGAAAAAAAACGTTGTTCACCATCTTTCAGAAACTGATCATGTCCCTCCACTGGCCACAAGAGACGACACATACTGCGCACAGTGTGTATCGAGGGCAAGGACCAACTGCACACCAGTTGAACGAGGGAAAGAGTGCCAAACCGTCGGCGCTGCGCATTCCAGTCAAAACGAGAAGCTGATAGGCGCAAGGAGAAGGCCATCATGGGGCACGCGAGGCCCATGCAGATTAGCAGCGAGCGCACATCACCGTTGAACAACAAAATGCCCGACCCCAAATTTTACTGCCGTGACACTATGCACCGCGCACTGAAAACCATTGAGCGATGCACAAGCAAATCGAGAAAGTGTTGCCGAATTCCAAAGATAGCAAAATAAACCAGCGCCGTCTAAAGGCGAGCACCACTGAGACATGTATTGAAGTGCCAGCCGCTCAATCCTTGGTGGCGAGCCACAAGGGCGACACCCCTAGCTCGCCGACCACCAAGGAGCCAAGGAGGGCGCAATACCCACCAACAACTCCCAGTTTGCACCGCCACCCGAAAGTGCCAGAAATGCTCCCAGCAGTCACACGAAATCGACTGCATCGCCAGCCTCTCAACCCCTGGTGGTGAGCCACAAGGGCGGGCCCCTGGCTCTCCGACCACCAGGGAGGGCAGAATACCCACCAACAAATCACAGCTTGTGAAATAACCAGATGCAGCCCATTCTGAAACGACAACACCTTGAACGCTGTATTGGAATATCCTCCAACTGGTTTGCAACTGCCCAAAGCCCATTGACGCTCCTGCCGAAACAGAACAAGATCGATGAGCAGAACCAAACACGCCTGCAATACACACATTACAGCACTGATGGACGGCAGTTGAATATACTCTGACATTCGCGATCCCAAGCCTCCGAAACACTGGGTGGACCCACGGAGGAAATGCACGTGGCAAAACTCGCCACGAACACTTGCCGCGGTGCCTCCAATGACATGAGAAAGCCTGGCCCCGCACCCGCACGGCCAATCCAGCGCGAGGAAGCCCACGCGGAAGCCCGAGACGACGACCGCGCCGAACAAAGGGATGCGTCGCATGGGTGAGCGCGTAAAGGAAACCGAATTCGCTCTTTTTTGCCGCCGTGATCGGCCGCGCGAGCCGCGGCGCGGCCCCTCGAGCCCCGACGTGGAGGCGCAGAGCTAGGCGGAACGTGACTCGGTTGAACCCAAGCGGGCACGCAGTCTTGGCCCACTTGTGCTTGAGGAGGAGGAGGAGGAGGAGGAGGAGGAGGAGGAGGAGGAGGAGGAGGAGGAGGAGGGGGAGACAAGGAGGGGCTGTCGCTTACACTGCGACACTACTTGCATGTTCAATCTGCTCTTCCTCGCCAACTGAGGGGCACTACCAGTGACAAATTGGGGGGCTTAGATTTGCTTGACTTATTCGATGTACTTGTTTACAGATGCTAGTGCAGACCTCGAGGAACTGGCGGGCGCTTGCTCTTTATATTATTCTCCTCCTCACCTGTATGTTTCCCCATTTTCCGCGGCGCCCGCCAGGTGCATCTTGAGCCGAGTCGTGCACTCTCTTGCTGATTGTTTTGGGCATGGAAAGCGCCACAGGGAAACCTTAAGTTGGTCTAGCGTGGAAGAGAGGAGGAGGAGGAGGAGGAGGAGGAGGAGGAGCAGGAGGAGGAGGAGGACCAGGAGCAGGAGGAAGACCAGGAGGAGGAGGAGGAGGAGGAGGAGGAGGAGGACCAGGCGGAGGAGGAGGACTGGGAGGAAGAGGAGGAACAGGAAGAGGAGGAGGATGAGGAACGACCCGCGTTCAGGAGGGGGGAGAGGGAGGTCCACCGTCCATGCTGCTCTCTGCCCTACCTCCCCTGGGCACGCCTGGGCGGCCAGCTCTTGCCAGCGCCGCAGCCGTCGGCGATCGTCGCGCCGAGGTGCGCAGTCGCGAAAAGATGAGGCCACGGGTCCGCGCGGGGTCGGGTGCACGGGTGGAAGAGCGAAGCGACTGAAAGGAGGCGCGCAGGCAATTCAACGCAATACAGGCAGACAGAAAAGAGTCGCGATCGGAAGGGGGAGATAAGGGAGGAAGGAGGAATATGGGTCAACACCATAGTCATGTGGAGGAAGATGGAGCAGAGAGCGGAGTACATGCACACCAATAGGACATGATACATAGTGAAGGATATCATCTCCACCCACGGCATAGCATCTGAGTCGGCACCCCTCGGCGCCGCAGTGATGGCGACGGGGCGTGTTCCAGGAATTAAACGTAGCCTTGAGGAGAGACGTGAAAATATAGGCAGGTAAATGTCGAGCACAAAGATGCAACCGCATCATGGCACGATCAGAGTTAGCAGGGGAGTAGTCCTTCAATTTTCGCATCCGGGGAAGTATTGTAGAAGCAGTAGGGGAAGGGGATAATCACACAGAAAATGTTTGTGAATGCAAGCGTGCAACCGTTTAGCAGGCACATCAACAGGGGGAGGGTGAACACGATAAAAAAGCAGTCATACTCAGTCTTCATCTGCAGTAGGATCGAGTGGGCACTCATCTGCCTGTACAGCCAGGCAACGCACACTTCATCCAGGAGGCTCCAGGAGTCTAGGAGGGTCGAATACTGGGCAAAACTCTGGCTTCTCGTGGCAGCTCGGATTAGGCAAGCGCGAGCATAGGTCTCCAACCTGCGGGCCTCCAACTTGCGCCCCATACGCTTCAGGTCGAAGAGGGAGTTCGGGGGGAAGCTGTGCCTGGGAGAGCAAGTAAGCAACTGCAGCCCATCTTTTTCAACGCGACGTGCAAGCGCGCTTGGGCGGTGAACCTGGGCCACATAGGAAACCACGGGGATCCCATCGGCGTCATGCGCCGCGACGCTGCTAGAAAGCCCAAGACCCATGGACGGGGCCCCAGGAAAGCTCAGCAGGATCAATGCCAACTTCCACCCCAAGAAACCACCCATATCTAGAAATCCGAAATCGGCCTACTCGAATCCCAGCTTCGCGGCAAAGCTGAAGAGCATTCCTACATGTTGCAGCATCAGGGAATACCAGCTGGCACTTCTTCGCGTTCAAAAGAAGACCTGCGCCGCCCCCACTCCGCGCCGGTAGCCGACGGAGGCGCGGGGGCACACTGATCAGGTCGCTTGCTGCCGCGGCCAGGTCATCGGCAAACGCGTTGTAGGTGGTGGCAGTACTTAGCGAGAGCGTCTGAAGTTAAGAACTGCAATATCAAAACAGAGACTGAATAGTAAACCGCTGAGAGGCGCACGCGGCTCCGAGTTGTCAGAGCTCACTAGCATGCGACTGTCACGGTACAAGGCAATAGTATTTTTTGAAAATAAGCTCAGGGATACCGTAGCTATGAAGAGCAGCCCACATGTACTCGTGGTTGATGCTGGGGAACGCGGCTTCTAGGTCGAACAGGGCAGAGCCTGCTCGCCTCTGATCACAGAGGGAGTTCGCAATCAAGAGGTTGGCGTCTACCTCGATGATGTTGCCCATCATCTGGCGACCTCTAAGGGAACCTTTTTGGGCGCCCTAGACCATATCATTGGCCAGCGGCGACAACGGCCAAGCAGCGCTTGCACTCGACAGTTCGTCGCCCGCGTTGGATCGGGCGAGAGGCCTGGTGCCCCCAGGAGCACGCGCCGCAACTTCTCCTTCCAAGGAGTGGCCCCCTTCGGGGGGAAGGCGGCCGCGATCGCGCTCAAGTCCGCGGGCGGGCTCTGGCTCTCCACCAGCTCGCGGCACAGCGCACACAGACACTGCAGACCAACTTCCCCCGTTGCTCGCCGAGCCGAATATGTGAGCCCGTCAGGGCCAGGAGAAATATCTTTCTTGCTAGCTAAGATCTCCGCAGAACTACTCTCGGGGATAAACCAGGGATAAACCGAACCATTTTTTGAAACGCACTGGTGACCATCGCGGGGGATTGGCTCAACAGTGGTCATGAAGTCGGCAATTGCGTCGACGTCGGCAGTGCGTCGCTGGAATACTTCACCCCAGTGTGGCATTCTGAAGGCATGGAAACGATGGGATGGGGACCAGAGGTGGGGGCGGACGGAGCGAAGGGCGCCAAAACGGGGAAGGGCGGGGGGGAGTGCGCCTGTCGGGGGGCACGGGGCTAGCCGCGACGGCGGGGCGACATCCACGGTCGACATCAGTCAGGCTCCTCATTTCCTTCGCTCTCGCGTCGAAGCGGTGCGGGAAAAGGCCAGACTCGCGATTCAGAAGACCATGTAGGGCATCTTTGGGCAGGCTTCGTCCGCCACCAGCGGCAGCACCTGTGCCAACGAATTCGGCAACAAACATACGGTCGCCACCGACGTCGGCATCAGGATGTACGGCATCAGGTTCAATTTTGTGCATACGGTCGCCACCAGCGGCAACTCCACGAACATTATGGAATACACGGACCGCTGCACTGAGAGCAACGTCGTGGGCATGGTCGGGCACTCGTTCGCCACCAACGCCAGCAGATTCAGCAACGGGCAGCTGGTCGCTAGCGACGGCGGCATCATGATGTGCTGCATCAGGAGATTCATCTTCGTGCATACGGTCGCCACCAACGGAAACATCAGGAACATAATGGTGTACATGGAAAGCTGCACGAATCGGCGGTGGACAAACCTCCCTTTAGTCAACCTCCTTTTAGTGAACCTGGGACCGACACCGGCGGACCTGGACCCGCAAAAATTGCGGCCGCGACGCCCCCTCGCGAACAGAAAACGGCCGATTCGCTCATCGACGTGTCGGGGTAGGAGGTCTCTGTCCACCCCCGAACGAGTAGCAGCGCCAAATACACGGTCCTGCACCTGCTCGCCACCAGGGGCTGCAACAACGTATTCCCCTCCGTGCAG